AGATTGCATGCACTTCACGCAGGGCCTCATTTTCAAAAGAGCATGGCACTCATGTAGCCAGCATCGCAAGATATTTACATGCCAGATGCGCTAAAGGTTCATATGTCCCTTGATGCTTCAACCACCATTCCAGGGGACATGCATCCATGCTGATGACAGGTTCTGCTCAATAACAATCCAAAGCAGTGCGGACCAATGCATGTTCATTTTCATAATCTGAGTCAGATCCCACCAGCAGAAGATTGATTTTCTTTTTTGGTGTTTCAGGTTCTGTAGTTTCCGCATCGGAGTGTTGCTCTTCTAAGACTTCTGAAAGCATGCTCCATGCCTTGTCCCTTTCGGATTTTGGAAGGCATTTCAGATTCTTAAACCCTGGGACAAGTGCTGTAGCTATCTTTAGAAATCTCACATTGGTATGTTCTTTGCGTTTTGTGAAATCTGCAGTGAAAGTGTTCTTAAAATGAACAACATGTGCTGGGTCATCATCTGAGACTGTTATAACATGAAATATATGGCAGAATGTGGGTAAAATAGAGCAGGGGACAAACAATTCTCCCCACCAGGAGTTCAGTTACAAATTTAATTAACACATTTTTTTTTAATGAGTGTCATCAGCATGGAAGCATGTCCTCTGGAATGGTGACTGAAGCATGAAGGGGCATACAAATGTTTAGCATATCTGGCATGTAAGTACCTTGCAATGCCAGCTACAAAAGTGCCATGCAAATACCTGTTCTCACTTTCCGGTGACATTGGAAATAAGAAGAGGGCAGCATTATCTCCTGTAAATGTAAACAAACTTGTTTGTCTTAGCGACTGGCTGAACAAGAAGTAGGACTGAGTGGACTTGCAGGCTCTGAAGTTTTACATAGTTTTGTTTTTGAGTGTAGTTATGTAAAAACAAAAAATCTACATTTGTAAATTGCACTTTCACAGCAAAGAGATTGCACTACAGTACTTGTATGAGGTAAATTGAAAAACACTGTTTCTTGTTTATCACTTTACAGTGCAAATATTTGTAATAAAAAATATTATACACTTTGATTTCAATTACAACACAGAATACAATATATATGAAAATGTAGAAAAACATCCAAAATATTTAATAAATTTCAATTGGTATTCTATTGTTTAACAGTGCGATTAAAATTACGATTAATCACGATTAATTTTTTGGAGTTAATCACGTAAGTTAACTGCAACTAATTGACGGCCCTACTTTAAATCCTTCTGTAAGACTTGCCTCTGCTATGATGTTTACAAAACCCAGCTTTCATATCGAGGCAGGTGACAAGCTGTGACTATTCTCCTTTTCCTCTTTCCTTGTCCTATTCCCTTCCTCACTACAGTAACTTCTCACTTAACGTTGTAATTGTGTTCCTTAAAAATGCGACTTTAAGCGAAACGATGTTAAGCTAATCCAATTTCCCCATAAGTATTAATGTAAATGGGACGGGGGGTTAGGTTCCAGGGAAATTTTTTTCACCAGACAAAAGACTATATATACACACACACACACACACAGTATAAGTTTTAAACAAACAATTTAATACTGGTACACAGCAATAATGATTGTGAAGCTTGGTTGAGGTGGTGAAGTCAGATGGTGGGATATTTCCCAGGGAATGCCTTACTGCTAAATGATGAACTAGCAATCGGCTGAGCCCTCAAGGATTAACACGTTGTTAATGTAGCCTCACACTCTGCAAGGCAGCACGAATGGAGGGAGGGGAGACAGCATGGCAGACAGAGATAGAGACACACACCGTGTGTGAGAGAGAGAGATGCGCATTGCCCCTTTAAGTACGCTGACCCTACTCTAAGTACACTGCCTTTTAAAATAGATCAGCAAGTTGAGACAGCAGCCCCTGCCAGCAAGCTCCCTCCGTCCTGAGCCCTGTCGTGTGTCCCCCTGCTCTTTGGAAATGGGGTGAGCGGGGTGCAGGAGCAGGGGGGAGGGGGACAACCTAATATTAGCCCCCTCTTCCCCCCACCTTGCACAGCAAGCAGGAGGCTCCGGAGAGCTCCAAGGCAGAGGGCAGGAGCAGCACACGGCAGTGGGGGGAGGGACAGCTGAACTGCTGGCAACTGATAGCCTGCTGGGTGGCTGCCGCACAGGGAACTTAGGGGAAAAGGGTGCTGATAGGGGGGCTGCCAGTCCACCCTGGTTCCAAATCCCCACCAGCTAGCTCCAATGGGCTGCTCTTCCTGCAAGCAGTGGACAAAGCAGGCGGCTGACAAACGATGTTATAAGGGAGCATTGCTCAACTTTAAACGAGCATGTTCTCTAATTGATCAGCAATGTAACAATGAAACAACGTTAACCGGGACGACTTTAAGTGAAGAGTTACTGTACCACTACCTCACTTAAAAAAATGCACGTAGCTAACAAAGCTGTGCCTATACTACACCAGATTCATTTGCTCGTACGGTGTCTCCACATGTCCTATCCTTTGTGTATGTCTTTAAATTGCAAACCTTGCAAAGCAGGAATTGTCCCTTTTCTGTTTGTACAGCACCAAGTGGTGCCCCCAATCCCAAGTAGGGCCTCTGGTCACTACCATAGTATAAATATTAATTATAATAAAAACCTACCTTGACTGGCTCCTTCTGAACTTTGATGTATCAATCATATTACAGGAACTTTGCAGATAGGTCATGACACCTCATCATATTATAATCAGTTCTCTGTATGTTAAAAAAAAACTCTAAGAGAATAATTTTGATTATTTTCATTCTGAGTACAAATCAAATCCAAAATCAAGTAATCATTCAATCCCTAAATAACACAATCCTTAAATTAAACTGCTCACAGTCACCAAACCCCTCTCCAGACTGCCCCAAACCATTACAGGAACTGCAGTACCAGATTACACCAGTGGTCTGTTACTTGTCATGAGGACTGTCGAATAAGTATTTGATCAAAACAACATGCCTTGTAGCATGTTCTGAAGATTAAGTAAACTCAGGCCGTGGAACACTGCTACAGGTTCCTAGCTGGGGAATATCCATTGCAAATGTTCTGTTTCCAGTCCTGCAGGAATGTATGTCTAATGAGCAGCTGACAGATATTTCATTGGGTCAAAGTACAATAACACAATGGGCACATTTTGTTCCAAGACAATGTGTTTAGGTTTGCAACAGCACTTCAGAATATTTGCATCACCTGACTTAGCTTCCTAGTTGCTGCCCATCCTCTCCATTTGTGGACAGTGTCCTGCCAGAGAACTAGATTTGCATTCTTTAGAAACAGATCGCTTTCCCTGCTACTGCACAGTATCTGAACTATGTACACCAATCTCAGTCCTCCAAGACTCAAGGGTTGTCTTCACTGCAGGGTGAGGACAAGGTATAACTCAAGTGTGTTACCCCAACCGACTCCGGCGCTAACACAGCAGTGACAGCAAGCCTCAAATATGGACATACACCTTACAAAGACAAGCCAAGATTAATAATATGCACAGCAGAGTTAACTCCTATTGAGTTAGCCTAGCTTGAGTGAAAACACTTGACATTATAAAAAATAATAATAATAATAATCCACCCCCCTCAAAAAAAAAAAAGACAAACCCCAACCAAAAACCAAACAAACAACAACAAAAACCACTAAACCACTACACACCAAAAGAAACCCACTCAAGCTGCAGAGAGTGTTTGTATTTGCAGCGGAGTCCAGACTGCATCTCTAGCTCCAGCATCAGTCCTACTTGAGCTTCAGCCCATGTCCCTTGACAGGCCAGCTTCCTCAACTGTGACTGACAGAAACGTGTTTTTATCTTGCGGTCGCTAATGCGCGTTAACCTAGCTCATTGTAAAAACACAGAGGAGACAGGGCACTCTCGCTTTACTGCCAGGTGAACTAGGCGAGATCAACCCCTGGCTGGGATTTAGTGCTGACCTCGCCTAGGTTCCTCGGGGTAAAGTACAAGGGCCTCTGTCGCCACTTAGGATTTTACAGTGCGATAACTATCATGCGTTCCTTATCTGGCTGTAAAAACATCCCCTTTGGGTCTGTGAAGCCAAAGCCCCACTTACCTGGAGCTCGCGCTTTCCCTGAGGGAAAGTTTGGTTAGAGGCAACATTGGCATCATATACCTCAAGCTAACCGGGCCGTGCGTACAGGTATATATGAGTATCACAGCAACACGTCATGCCTGCCCAGCATCGAGTGTGCACATCTCGATCCCCCCGCCCCCCAAAGCGTGTTATCAGCGCCATGTCCGAGGCTGGAAAATCAGTCCCTGACCGCCCAGGATAGGAGGGAGCTTTACTGTTGCAGGCCAAGCGCATTGCACACACTGCGGGGCTCCTTGCATCCCTCCAACCTCCCCTGCCCCATGGCCACCCTCTATCACAGGGACTCTCTGCAGCCTCCCCCCACCCGCCTCTGTGTGCCCCCCATTATTCCTCACCCCAGATGGGGGGTGAGGTGGGGACACGGGGCGAGGACACGCCGGGCCAGCAGAAGCGGGTGAATAGGGCAGCAAGGGGGGGGAGGTCTGGAATGCAGTACGGGGGCGGCACGAGGGAGCGGGGTCTGGGGGAGGGGCGATGGGGAGGCGGTGACTCACGCAGGGGTCAAATTCTGCGCCTCACTCCGCTCCTCAGTCTCCCCCCTGCCCGGGGAGGGGGACGGGCTGACGGGCCCGGCCTCCCCCGGGGCGGCCACCGCGCGAAACGCTCGCGCCGCTGCTTCCCCGCCCCAGCCAACTACCTAACGGTCCTCCATCACTAGCCTCCCGCCGACGCCTACGTCACTTCTTGCCCCGCCCCTTGGGGCCCCGAATATTGTCTGCAAACACCGTTATTTAATCATTTAAAATCTTTGTAAATATTCGTAGACAACAAAGGGGGAGGGGAAATCGGTAGAAACGGGGTGAGCACGGGGTGTGAGTGATGTCATCAACCCCCGGCCAATCAGCAGCAGCGAGGGTGTAGCCGGCGAGACACCTCCTCTCTATATAAAGGGGGCGCGTCGCAGCCGCCTCCCGTCTGTGTGCGAGTCGAGTCGGCTGAGGGGGTGTCGGGAAGGGCGCGGCGCTGCAGCGATGGGGAACGCGGTGGCTCGGGAGGACTTTGAGTGGGTTTACACGGACCAGCCCCACGCCGATCGCCGCAAGGCGATCCTAGGTGAGCGAGGGGCCCGGGCAGCTTCCCCTCAGCGCCGGGGCGTCCTGCTGGCGGCGCATGTGTCTCCCCAGCCGGCTCGCTGTCAGGGCCGGTGGTGCCTGGGCTCTACCCGTTCCGCCGGCGGGGGGAAGGGCCTGATGCCTCCCCGCAGGGAACCGGCCGCCCCAGGCTCGCCGTGTCCGCTGGCAGCCAGCGCTTGTCGCTCTGCGCGCGGGAGGGGCGCTGCCTGCGGGACGGAGCGGCCCCGTCCAGGGGAGGCGGCGTTTGTGTCCCCAGCGCCGAGGGGGCCCGTTTCGGGGCTCGCCGGGGGTGGCGAGCTTGGTAAAATGGCTGCCGCGGAAGGGGGGCGGGCGGGTGACACACGGGTCGGCCCCTTGAGACAGGCTCGGAGGCCGAGCTCTTCAGGCGCCTCGAAGGGCCCACCCCATCCGTGACCCGCTAGACACCGCTCCTCCCTCCGTCCGGGGGGCAGCGCGATTACCGCCAGGACTTCCCCCGCCCGCCCTGCTGGGTGGGGGGAGACGCCTCGCTCGGCTGCCCGCGAGCAGAGCCCCGGAATGAGGCGTTTCTGGACTGTCCAGAGGCCGGAGTCAACCCTGCAGATCCGCCCTCCTGGCCAGCGGCTCTGCGAGGCACGGGGAGGCTCCTCGGAGTCCTTTTGAGATGTCTTCCGCTCAGCTGATTCGGGGGAGGGGATTGTCGTGTGGGTCAGACCCTCGTCAAACTGTCATGCCTCCCTCAAGTAAACTCACTGCGGTTGAAAGCCTCTTTCTAGCTAACGCGCTGGCTTCCAGAAACGTCTCCGGAATATTTCTTGTTAAAACTGATTGCCTGGGAAATTGTACATACATTATGCACACGTGAAGGAGAGGAGGAGGAGGAGGAGGAGAAAAGCCCTAAAAAAAGTGATTTTTGTATTTTGATCTTGCTGGCAGAAGAGCTGGTTGAGATGGAAAGCGTGAAGGAGGCATTTTCATGATGTGTACTGTTGGGCTGTGTAGTGTAGTGATGGATGTGATCAGTTATATATGAAACTGACAGTGCTTGTAGGGTAGTGGGAAGGGAAGTGGTGACTATACTACAGTGTTTCCAAAGAGCAGACTTAAATAGGGCTTCCGATCAGTTGTTACTGGGTGAACACTTCCCTTCTTTTAAATTGGGGTGTTTTTTCAGTTAACACTGGCAATGAGCACTTGTATCGGAGTGCTTGTCTACACAGAGCAGTAATGCAGACAACTGGGGTGTGACTTCTAAAGTGCACTAGTGTGTTGTGCCTTAGTTTGTCCATGTAGACCCTGCTGGTGTGCACTAAAGGTTCCCACCTGTGTCTGAATGTAGTGGTGTTTGAAGCAGTGCTACATTAAAGTGCACAAGGGAATATTACAAAAACATTACTTGTTACTGTGTGTGTGTATGTATATGTGTAAAATATAAATAAAAAGCCTGCCAAAACCCTGATTAATTTTTTTGGCATCTACATAGAATGCAAATTGCTAAGAAGGAACACTGCACATAAATTAGTGGGTCTGCCTTTAGCTGATGGTGTGATGGGTGGGGATTGGTTTCATTTTCATTTTCTTGAGATTGGGAAACACTACTATACCAAATGCAGAGTTTACTTTAGGGTTTAAAAGGTGAGTATTAAACCCCTGAAGTGTGCAAAATAGTCAGTACTTTGACTAATTTGCAACTAGCTTTATAATGACAGTGGTTCAGATTTGCCTAAATTAAGTTTAGCTTATACCTCTGCACAACCAAGTCATCCCAAGAGTGGGATGTGGAGGGAGGGCAATTTTATTTGCTGAGGCTGTCTTTCTGGGAAGTAATACTAAGTCTCAGGAAGTTGCATCAAGGTTGGACCACATTGTCTCCTTGTCCATAACCACTTAGGCCAGGGGTGGGCAAACTTTTTGGCCCGAGGGCCACATTGGGATTGCAAAACTGTATGGAGGGTGGGGTAGGGAAGGCTGTGCCTCCCCAGACAGCCTGGCCTCTGCCCCCTCACACTTCCTTCCCCCTGACTGCCCCCCTCAGAACCACTGACCTCCCCCTGGGACCCCACCTCCTATCCACACCACCAACTGCCCTGACCCCTATCCACACCCCTGCCCCTAACAGCCCCTGGGACCCCACCCCCTATCCAACCCCCCCCATCCCCTGACTGCCCTCTGCCCCTTATCCAACCCCCCCCCCCCCTGCTCCCTACCCCCTTACCATGCCGCTCAGAGCAGCAGGAGCTTGCAGGCCTGGAGCCTGCTGGCAGGAGCGGTGGACCAGAGCACTGGTGGCATAGTGAACTGAGGCTGCAGGGGAGGGGCTGGGGGCTAGCCTCCCCAGCCAGGATCTCAGGGGCTGGGCAGGACGATCTGGCCTGTGGGCTGCAGTTTGCCCACCTCTGACTTAAGCCATGTTGGCCTTCTGCAATTTGGATTGTCTGCCTTGCTTTGCTACGGCTTCCCAAGCCATCTTCCCTGGCTGTGCCTATGGTAAAAGCTGGTGTAGAGCCTGAAATATAATGTTTAATATCTGGCAGCAATGTTGATGTATGCAACTCTAGCAGGGACTATAAATCTTAGGTGGGTTGTGTAACATGCTGCTTGTACACTGTCTTAAAGGGATATTAGTGCAAATAAGTGTTTTCAGAAGCTTAATTACTGAAGTAGAAATGACAATTCATAAATAGGAATCTTTACATGTCTGCCCAAGATGAGTATGAAGTTGCTTATCTTCTTTAATTTTCTCATCCCTAAAAAGGGCGTAATATTTGTCCCTCAGATGTATGATTAATTTAAATCTGTAACGAACTGTGGAAGTGCATGCTAAGTATTAAGAGACATTGAGTTTCTAGAATAAAACACCAAATACCACTAAACTACAGCAGCACTCTTTGATCTTGCTCAATATTTCAGGCATGCACATATGCCTACAGCAGTCAAACAATTCCCAACATGTACATGCAAACTACTAATGTAACTGAATTGCCAGAAATGTAGGAAGACTTAAGGAATGAGTCCACTCAACTTAATTAATAGAATCAATTTTGGGGGGAGGGGGGGAGAAGGAGGGCGTACTAGTAAGTTGTTTGTGTGGCTGAAAAAATTTTGGCTCTACTAAAGTGTACTTGTGACATTTTTCTCTTTGCATTTAACTATTTTTCTTCTCCCCATAACAGCTAAACATCCAGAAATAAAAGCTTTAATGAAGCCAGACTACAACTTGATATGGGTGGTTGTACTGATGGTTCTTGCACAGTTGATTGCATTTTATCTGGTTAAAGACTTGGACTGGAAATGGGTTATGTTCTGGGCTTACGTTTTTGGCAGCTGCATCAGTCACTCAATGACTCTGGCTATTCATGAGATCTCTCACAATGGTGCCTTTGGCAATTGCAGAGCTATGTGGAATCGGTGGTTTGGAATATTTGCCAATCTCCCTCTTGGCCTCCCATACTCTATATCTTTCAAGAGATACCACATGGATCATCATCGCTATCTAGGAGGTGATGGAATTGATGTGGACATTCCTACTGACTTTGAAGGCTGGTTTTTCTGTACTCGTTTTAGGAAGTTCATATGGATTGTTCTTCAGCCTTTTTTCTATGCTATTCGACCTCTCTGCATCAATCCCAAACCAATTTCTCGATTGGAAATCATCAACTTGTTGGCTCAGCTCTCTTTTGATGTTGTAATATACTACTACTTGGGAATTAAATCAGTCTTCTACATGGTTGCAGGATCGCTACTTGGACTGGGGTTGCATCCAATTTCAGGACACTTCATAGCTGAACATTACATGTTCTTAAAGGGACATGAGACTTACTCCTATTATGGGCCACTTAATTTGCTCACTTTTAATGTTGGCTACCACAATGAACACCATGACTTTCCCAATATTCCTGGCAAGAACCTTCCATTGGTAAGTACACTTTCAAGAATATATAAAGCTAATGGTAAACTGAAATTTACATCAGTGCTTGTTAAGTTCAGGGGTGGGCAAACTTTTTGGCCCGAGGGCTACATCTGGGTATAGAAATTGTATGGCGGGCCATGAATGCTCATGAAATTGGGGTTGAGATGGAGGAGAGAGAGGGGGCTTTGGCTGGGGGTGCTGGCTCTGGGGTGGGGCCAGAAATGAGGAGTTCAGGGTGCAGGAGGGGGCTGTGGGGTGGGTGCAGGCGTTGGGGTGGGGCTGGCAAGGAGGGGGTTGGGGTGCAGAAGGGGCTCCAGGCTGGGACCAAGGGGTTCAGAGAGCAGGAGGGGGGATCAGGGCAGGGGGTTGGGGGCACATTTCTCTTCTCCACCTCCTAGATAGAGGTGTGGCCAGGCAGCTCAGCTGTGCCTTGCCCTGTTTGCAGGCACTGCCCCTGCAGCTCCCATTATGCATAGGAGCCAGAGGGGGCCATGCTGCTGCTTCTGGGAGCTGCATGGAGCGGCCCCCAACCCTGCTCCCCAGCTGGAGCTCAAGGGCTGGATCTGGGCGGTAGTTTGCCTACCCTTGTTTTAGTTCCTTTTTGGTTGAAGTAGGATACTTAAAGCAGCAGTACCTTAAGTATCCACTATAGAATTAAAACTACATTATGTGAAATAATTGTCTATTAAAGCAATCTTAAGTGTTACTTCTAATTGTCCTTTCCCCCATCCAGCCTTACAATCTGTTTCTCTTCTATTTGCCTACTGGGTAGTACTTGACAGCACCTTGCATACTTTGTTTTTTGTGTAATAATTCAGTTTCTCACATTTTGGTTCCTGTTTCCCACACAGCAGTAGAAGAGAAACATAACTCATTATAAAACAACAAAAATGGGAGGAAACAAGGACAGTGAAACTACATTCTTTTAAAAAGACTGCATTTTAATTTGAGCATTTCTCAAGTAAAAGCTTGCATAGCTAGTCTGATCCCTTCTGCTTACATAGGGATGCTTCTCTTGACTATTTTTAGCAAACTGATTAACAGCTTCCTGTTAACAAGCAAAAACTAAACGTGTTTACCTCAGATTAACATTTGGGAGTTTCCAAATTCTTGATGGATCATCCTACCACAAACATTAAAGCTTTTCTATATCTGCATGCTAATTTAACTGCACACATACTGCCTCAAATGCAGCACACTGGCCACATCAACTGAGAATTTTCAGACTAGTTCCTAACTGATACAGCTTCCTCTGATGAAGCTGCAATGGAGACAGTATTTGTTACCATTGTTTTTTGTCAACACTACTATCTTCATTTGTGGAGATGCAACTGTTTAGCAATTTTAAGACTTAATTCCTATGTCCTACAATAGAATCTGATAAATCCTTCAAGTAGCTATTATACGCAAGTCTGTCTTCAATCACATTACATAATTGCTTTAGTATTTTACATTCCTATAAGGTAGTTGCAGTTCAAAAAGCAAATAGTAACGTTGCATAACATATTAATAAATCCCCTTTGGAATACTTAATGCAAACCACACTCTGGGGTGGGGGGGAACGACTGGCCTTTCTGCAGGCTTTGAACTGGGAATATTTATGCCTCCTCTCCCTCTGGAATCATTAATCATGGCATTTTAATGGATTTCTACCCTGGGTCAATCTTATCTGTGAGAAGACCAGTTAGACAATCCATATCTCAACATTCTGAATTCAGTGTCCAGAAAGCATTGATCATCGCAGATGCATCTGAAGTACCTAGGCTGCTTGTTGTACTGTATTGATAGGTACCTAGAAAACATACTAGGTCAATAAGTACCACAGGTTGCCCTGACTATTAGTCTTGAGTTTCAGAGCAGTTCATCAGCTGTTACTGCACCAATATATCTGCCCTGACTGATTATAATCAGGGGCTTCAAATGTGCTATTTCAAGATTAGCTCATGCCAGACCAGTTGTCTCAATAGCAGACCCAAACTTTCAAGCTTTTTTTCTCCTCTCTTCCCTACCCACATCCCCATTTCAGCTCTGTCCCAACTGCTTGATTGTTCCTGATTCAGGACCTGGTCAGCTGTCTTCAATACTTTGGTCCCCTTGCTTCTAGACCCTGTTCTTATTCTGAGTATAAACTCCTTGAACCACTGTTGGGTGAACTTGTGTTTTTATGTACCAAGTGTCACACCACTGGGTTCTAGTTCAGTCTGAGGCTATGTACACACTACCACCTTCCTGAGTGACTTAAGTTACACCAACCTAACACTGGTGTGGACAGCACTGTGTTGGCAGGAGAACTTCTCCCGCCAACATAGCTACTGCTGGTCTTGGGGGCTGGAGTGATTAAGTTGATGGGAGTCCTCTCTCCCATCTGCTTAGTGTCTGCATAGCAGTGCTACAGTGGTGCAGCTGTGCCACTGAGGCTACGGCTACACTACAGAGCTTATAATCAGATAAACAAAAGCAGACCAGCAGCACTTTTTTGGGGGGGGGAGGGGTGTAACATACTGTCTGGACAAAGCAAAGAACCTTGACTACCTGAATATCCCATGTAGATCACACCTCTGTTAGTTTAGGAGTACCTAAAAGGCCTTCCCTGCAAGCAGCTGGCCTTGGGCATTAAAACAGCTTTGCATTCTCCCTACAGTGGGTGTTAAAACTCTGATAGCTCCACATTGGGTGAATAAAATCTCCTTTTTTAAAAAATACAGGTTTAATGTTTAAAAAAATCCATTTACTTTTAAATTTGAAACAGACAACCTATAATGTCTAAATTTATAATCTTCAGCTAATGCCACTAAAAGTAAATTTCTTAACACTCCCAGTTGTTTAAAGACTTTGTTCTCCTGCTTCTAGAAGTACTGGCAGAAACACTGGAGGGGAAGAAGTTTTGAGCTTAGCAAATGTGAATAAACCTTTAATTTTTTTCCTCTTAGGTGAAGAAAATAGCAGCTGAATACTATGATGATCTTCCACAATATAACTCCTGGATAAAAGTGCTTTATGACTTTGTGATGGATGACACAATCAGCCCTTACTCACGCATGAAAAGGAAATTAAAGGGTGATGTGAAACAGGATTAAACTTCTGCCAACCAAAAGACTCTACAAAGCAAGATCTGGGATATTTAGCAAGAAATTCTTGCATCAGCTACTTGAAAAGAAGTTTATTTGTATCCTGAATTATTAAAGAATGCATTGGTGTATCCTAAACCAGACCAATTAGACTACCACTAGCTAAACATTCTAACAGTCATTGGTGTAACTAAAATACAAAAGACATGATTTAATATGCTCAGTGTATGTGTACAATAGTACTTAAGTTTGTTTTATAATATTTCACAGCTGCTAACAAATCTTGTACTCAGACACCTGTTTCTGGCTTGTCTATTTAGACCTATAAAAGATACTATTTACACTTCTGGGTCGTCCTGTGCTGCCCATTCCATGCTCATAACTTAGTCAATTATAGTATTAAAGTTCATACTTGATAGTTACTCCTAAGCCAACATGATTAACTTAAGTCTTGTTTCATTAAATGTGTTTTCAACTGATTTCTGTCTCTGAACTTCTTGGGGGTGAGCAGTAGGGGAGAAAATAAACTTCTAAACTGCAGTTAATAGTGAATCTGCCTTAAGGGCTAATTCACTGCTGATTCAAAGCAGTGGCAGATCCAGGTTCTTATCAACAGTGACTATCTCACTACCACTAGTATTGAAAACTACTTCATGAGGCTGCTGCTGCTTTTTATGAACCACTCTTACTGATAGTGGGGACTAAATTAGTGATTATCTGACTAATTTTCTGGGTATAGAGTTATTCCCCTAAGTGTTAGTATTTAGGAAAATAGTAGCAGAATAATCTGAAGACAAGTGTGTTTAGAGCCTAGTGCAAAAACCTCCACTAGCCTGGTCTGGCTGACTGGGCTTGTTTAGCTTTTAAAACAAAACTCACTTAATGAGGCTTTATTAATGTCAGTCAGCTGTACATGTTGGCTATGTAATGAAGAGGCAATTTGTGAAAACACACTAGGCACCTGAATCCTAGTTTAGGCTCTATTATGAATGCTGTTCACACCTAAGCAGTTAGGAACTTGTACCCTGAATGAGTTCAGGTTTCTGCCTGTGGGCATGTGCACTACTGTCTTAAGCCCTAAACTGATTCACAAAGCAGGGTAAAAGCGGTTTTGTCTACCTATGGTGTATGCAGGCCCCAATCCTACTGCATTGGTGGTAATGAAGGTGCAGCCTTTCTTTCTCTTCATCTCCTCTCCTCTTCTCTTCCCCCCCCCCCCCATTACTATAAAAAACATTTAGGTTCCTAAGCTACCTCTAGACAGCTGGTTACCATTTGTGGATTGCTAAAATGAGGCAGCCTGTAGCCTAGACTTAGCCCTACCCCTCTCAGAGAGGGACACTTATGTCATTAGCATCTCTCATGGGTTAGCTTAGGTGCTCCCTGCCTAGTGTACTGGTTTTTGTGGATTGCATTCTAAGATGCCTATCTCTTCTCCATTCATTGTAGGCAGCCTAGGGGCCTAACTCTGCTTTGGCAATTAGTGTTCCTGTGATTGTTTAGGCATCTGACATTAGGTGCTGTGATGCTCAGCATTGCAATGCCTGAGTCCCTTCATGGATCCTAACCCTCAGGGCTGCCCTTATAATTGGCAGATCTTCTGACCACTACCTATTCCACCTTGAAAATGAATATAATTATTACTGCAGATACCTAGGAAAAATATCATGAGGTATACAGATGGCTAGGTGTCTCCTGAACAGGGAAATACAGCTACTGTAACCAGTTTAGTCATTTGTGCACATTTAATGGTGTAGTTAAAATGAAGAATTAACAAAAACCAAATTGCATTAACACAAACAAACCTTTCCCATATGTTGTAGGTTAGTATCTTCCTGTTCTCCAGCCATACTTTTTAGTGGGCTCTGTACATTTCTGCATCTTCTAATCCTGCCTTGATCCTTTTTGCTTCCCTATCTCCAAAAATGCAGATACTATAGACACTTTCTGTGAAGAATAACTGATAAACAGAAAATTATGCTGATGCCCCTTCTGCCATTTTGGTGATTTTTTTTAGGGCCAGATTTCTAAAGGTGCCAAGAGGGCTTTTTCAAAAGTGCTTATTTGCATCTTTAAAAATCTGATGCAAAACAGCAGTCCCAACCTTGTATGTCTATCATAAAAGCTGGAGCCAAACTTTTAGCCTTCACTAAGTGGTGGTCTGTACAAGGGAGGCTGAAGGACCGTTCTGGCCTATGTTTCCATTCTTTGGTTACCCTTCTTGAGCCACTTTAAAAGGGCCTGATTGCAAGGGGAGTAGATGCTTATTTTCTGAATATTGGCCTCGTGGTTCTGGGTGACCAACTTGAGTCACTTTTGAAAATGTAGGCCCTGTCTGTATTTGGTTAATTCATAAATATCAGTGGCTTAAATTTACAGCCTCCTTACAAAAGGTTAAGTATTTACAAAGAATTAACTTGTTTGGGGCCTTTGACAAAATAGCTGGCTTACTGTACCATGTAACTAGTCACTTTTTTGTCAACTATGCTTCCTTTATATCAGTATAACCAGCACTTGAAGGTAAACCTATAAATAAATGCTTTTGGATAACACTGGAAAAGTGGCTTTTGTACTGGTGCCTTGCTAGTAAACTAACTTTCATTGGATTACAATGTAATGTTTTATAGCTAAACTTTAAGTTTAGCTTAACCTCCCCAAAGACTTTTATAAAGGACAGAAATATGAAGCAACTTGAAATGTAAAGGGTCAGCTTGCTTTTAATTAACTTTTGGAAGCAGATGGGCATCTGGAAGACTAACATTTGTGTGTTTGGGCAGTGAAATTGTAAGACAAAATGTATGTTAAAATACTTGATTTTTTTTTAGCAAAATTAATATTAGCTAATGTTTGGTTCAATGCCTGAAAAATTGCAAAAAAAAAAAAAAAAGGGGGTGTGTGTGTGGGGGGGGGGGGTACATTATCTAAACTCCTCTGTGCTGAGAAGGCTCTCCTGTGCCTGGATGGGGGATGGATCATCTTCATTAAAACCTTCGCCATACTTGATAAAAGCTATCCTCTGCTGCTGCTTTGAGTAGTGTCCCTATGCCTGCTCCACTGTGGGTGTGCTTGCATCCCTGCACTGCTGATCAGGGGACTTTAGTAGCAGTATCTGTTGGGACCACAACTATGCTGTCTCTCCTTGTGCTGTGCCACGAGACTAGTCAGCACACGTAGGCTAACCCATCTCAGTTCCTGCTCAACCACCCTTGGCTAGAGATGGAGCCATTAGCAGTTCATAAAGACTATTGTTTTAATCTATATACCTATAGTTAGTCTCTTGGTTATAGTTCTAGTTTTTTTTCCCTTTTATTTTATCCTTTAAAAAAAGGAAAGACTTCATTTTTCTTCCCTGTCAGGAACCTTTTCCCCCAACAGGGTATGCCTGTAAAGAGGCTATCCTGATCACAGATAAGTACACTCAGTCCATTTTCTGCCTCCGGGACAGCCACATACAACAAAAGTGTGGTCGTTGCCAACAAGTCGGCCCAGGATCCTGCGAAGACAGAGCTCTGTCAGAAGATTATCTTCATCAAGGCAGCTCTCTGACCCTAGTTGGCTGGTAGATGTGAGTCCTCCCTACAGTCTTCTACATCTTAAGGGCTGTGGGTCAAAAAAGCAGACTACAGCCCCCTTTCACAAATAATCTAAGAGAGCAGTGAGCCCTGAGATAGTCATAAGTGATCACCATCTAGCTCAATATCACTGACACCAAAGCCATCTCAGTCTGACACCCATGGCTCTCAGAGACCACCAGCAACCAGTACTGCTGGCAGGCCCATGGACCCGATGGGCACGGGCACTGACTCATTGGCACCAATGGACAGGAGTAAGCACTCCTCCAAAAAGCTACTCCAGGTATGCAACCCCCATTGGTACCATCAGTGACGGCTCACCCGGCCCCAGAACAAGTGGTGCAGAGATCACCAACACCAGGATGATTGGTACCAGCGGAATTCTAACATGTAAAAGCAGGGCCGGCTCTAGGTTTTTTGCCATCCCAAGCAAAAAATTTGCCGCTCCAAGCGCCCAACTGCTCAAACAAACAAACAAAATGGCCGGAATGCTGCCCCTGGAATTGCTTTGCTGGTGCCTAGAGCCGGTCCTGTGCAAAAGGCCTCTGGATGTCCCTTCCTCTCACTACTGAGATCTCTTTACTGAGCCTCTACCAAGCACAGGAGGTATCCACGCTGCCATGCTCCTCCGCTCTCTAGTGAGGGTTCAGACAGCCTGAGGAGGTAGTGTTGCAGTAC